TATAGTGGGGATCACATCACATGGTGCACTTTCTATCGGTTCATGTCACCCTCGCCAAGTAGTTCCGTGGTATCGAAACTATGTTCATCAAAATTAGAACAGATAAACAAAAATTATGTGTTATAACTTATAATTTTCTTTCCGTAGAGAATACAACCAACTAAACTTATCGTATATATATATGTGGTGGAAACATGTGTGCGCCAAATATTGTGTTGGATGGTCGAAATTTTACAGGTAAGAAACAAAAATAATTAGAGTCCACTATATTCTGCTAACCTAAAGACAATGCTTGATGCAACAATTCTCTGTGTTATTGCTTTATTAATATCTTATAATCTAAGAATCTAATTTATTCTGGGCACACCTTGTCTTAAAAAAACCATGTTCATATTAATGCATCACTAACCAAATAATTGATATGTATCATGATATTTTGATACCAAAAATTGATACGATTGACTATCTCCTATAATGGGTGGAACCACCTTAGGCAAAAGTAGTCTGATATCGAAAAATTATGCGAGGTATAGAAATTAAATGTTTTATTATGAATTTATATTAAATTTTGCATACCTTTATTATATGAAAAGATAATTTGCATATTTTTTTATCAAATTTCTGGCTCCGCCATTCATAGTGATACAACTTAACTTTTTTTTTCTTTGTATATGTGTTTAGGAATCTGAACATTTAAGTCAACATTTAAAAGTAATGGATAAATTAATCTAAATATTTATAAATTTCTATAGAAAAAGAATCTACATTATAAGGTTCAATAATAATGTTCTAGTATGGAATAAGTTAGGCGATAATCATATTTCTAATTAAAATTATCAGGCAATTAGCAAGAAACTTCCTAATTGCTCCACTAATTGGAATTTAATCTATTAAAATATGGTCCAAGTGCTATATCGTTCGATCACTAATTAAACATAATTAGTTTAATTCTTTATTGCGATAAGTATAATATATAATTATATATATAACTTTATTCTTATTCGGTCATGCATAATCTCCTAGATTGATATTGTCTCATGTATGGCCCTCTTTAATTTGATTTGTCTATTCATTACCAGAATTTAATTAGTGGGGCCATTAATCCTGAAAATATATGTATGTGTTGTCATTATAACATTTATACTACTAATTTTCTTGGTTAGAATAACAAGTGTTTTATTCTATATGCTTATTCGAACGAGTTAGTTCATTTCTTAGATGTAGTTTAATTGAGAAATCTGAATGTATGAGAAATATTTTTATCATATATTTTCATTTTATAATCATATAAAATATATTACTTCCTTTCATTGTTATATAAGTGTCAATTGGGATAGACTTGGAGTTTTGTGTTTTATTGAAACTATTGTGTCTGATTAAAGCATATGATTAACGTTTGATGCTTAAAAAGATGAGCATAAACACTTTTTCAAATTTCTAGTCGGTAGTGACTAATAGACATTTTATCATGTGTTATGTAAGAACATGTCATATTTCAAGTGTTTAAATGAAATTTAGATACAACTTTAAGGGTCCTCGATGTATTCAGTCTAATTATTCCATCATTTTCTTGTTTAGTTAATTAGGACCACCTAATTGTTTGATTGGTGAGTCAAGTAGGAAGCAGACCACGTGTAGATATGCCACTTGACTAACTTTAATTTCTTGGGATTTTTTATAAGATGTGATGCCATTTTTTAAAAAGTTTTTTATTCATTTATTTTAATTTATTTTGTTTGTTGTGCCATGTGTGTGTGGTGGTGGTGTTTTTTTTTGGGGGGGGGTGGGGGGGTGGGGGGGGGGATAATCTTGGCCTATTTAAATGCCAGCTTTTTTGTTCAAATTTCATATTATCTACTGAATTCTCTCCTCAAATATTACTACTACTTAGTGTTCAAATTTTGATATTAAGGTATGGCTAATTTGTTAGCTGTTGAGAACTGGACATGGATCGACGGTTGTGATGACTTGAGCAACTTCGACGTGTCACAAATCGACGGTGACATTGTTATGTCTTTACTTGATGACATGCAAGGTGATGATCATCATGATGATGAGAGATTAACGAGTGTTATTAGATGTCTTGAAGCCGAAATTGATCAGACTCAATCTTATCCTACTTTTAATAATGTAGTATCTGAATTGGTAGTAAGGGTCCATGGTCATGATTCTTTCCAAGACAAGCAAGAGAGAAATTATAATGGTGAAAATTTGCAATCGCAGAATACTATTGGTCAATGTCAAAGCGAAGATTTTGTTGAATCAAATGATCTTGATTTTAGTTGGATGGAGATGGAGATGGAGATGGTCCCTTCATACCCTAGCGATGAAATGAACTTGTGGTACATGGACAACAACTATGGACAAGATTATGAGGTTGTTAGTGGGATCTCTAACTACTCTGATACCGTTTCCTTTGAGGAAAATGATTATCATTCTTTGTGGCAAGAACAAAACGTATAAAGTTTTTGTTTAGATATAAATTTAAATTGGTGTAAGAAAAGAAAGAATCTTGATAACTAAATTAGACATTTCACTCATTATATACAGAGTACTTTAATTAAATCTATTAGTCTTCTCTAATTTAGATTTAAGTTATATATATCATTATGTAAAAAGAATTTTAAATTATTGGTGAATTTTAACCTCATAGTATGCTATTTATCAATTTTAATGATCAAATTACTATTTAATGTTAAACAAAATATTCACCTACAATTACATAATTAAGTAATCTAATGGTACAAAATTCATTATTGTTCTTTGTTAATACTTGTTTTCATTTCACCCAAACAACAACAAATATGCAACCAAAATTCAATATTATTATAACTAAATTACAGGGAAAAAACGATTTTGCTATCAAGGGTTATGTATATAATAATGATTAAAGAAAAAAATGATAATAATCATTAATTAAATTATTTTAGGAAGGCCATTTCCAATTGCATTTTGGCAGGGTATAATTTTTTATTCGAATATTTAAATGGACAATGACAAGTCACTACTCGATACTAAAGCAAATGTCCATATACAAAGTTCAAGAAAAAATATCAATAGTTGATATTGCTCCATATTTAATTAAAATATTTTGGATCAAAACCTTGAAATAAACAACTTCTTAACACATTTATTCGATGTAAATCTAAAATAATCGAGCTAATGAATTTCAGACTTTGAGTGAAGCGATGTCATCAACATATTTTGTGAAAATTAAGTAGTAAATATACATCTTTATAGAAATGATATGTGAAAAAACATATATAAAATATCAAATAATACCCCTGGACAAATTTACATTTCATCATCAATATTGTCAATTACTAACATCAATCAACTTCACCACCACAATTACTATTACTATCAACTGTCATTATCATGCAATCAACCATTATCATTACTAGTCACTAACATCAACCATTAACACCATCACCATAACAACAAACCATCTAGCTCCACCATTAATAATGAACATAAATATTTTCATTTTTTAATCAAATAATAATAATTTCATTTTATTATTTATTAAAAAAATATGAACTATTTTTATTTTAATTGTATATATATTTATTATGCTTATAAACAACTAAATTATTCTCATTCAAATGTGAAATACAAATCGTCTTAATCATTTAATATTAAATCTAGAGATAATATTTTAATTTAATGATTAAAATATATCTACAAATTCAGTTTCAGATATCTTAATTTTAATAAAAATAAATAAGGTCTAAAAACATTTGTGTAGCCAAGTATCGAGCCCTACGTACACATAACCTAAAGATAGACTTTCAAGTCTGTCATCCAACCAAATGTCTTGAATTTGATTTCTAAAATGAAAAAAATATAATAAAAAATATTTCCTTTTTAATCAACTATATATTACGCTATACAAATCTAAATTAATGAAACTTCAACTTCAACATAGATATCAAACAAATAAAATTGTCATGCATTTCATGGCCAAGGCGAACCCACGTACACGTGATCAATGATGTTTCACCATAACTATCTTTTGTTTTTATTTCATTATTTAAGCCTTTATGTCTGCAGGTATGATTTGTGCATGTTCTACATCAAATTCAAAGTACTTCAAATTTTAAAAAAATGGGTCAAAGTATTATTTGATAAACATTAAGTATATATTATTGTGTAGTGGCAATATAGTCGACAGGTTCAGAATTTTGATTCAATGTACTATAGTCTATATATATCGATCTGCTCCATCATGTCCTTTAAATAATATATAGAACTAAACTTTATTATTGTATAAGTTATATTCATGTTCCCTTTATTATTGTATGCTACCATGCCATCCCTTTCTTGGAAACCTCCCATAGGGACGGACATGTCAGTTTACATGGACTCAATAGCTTTTGTTCAAATTTTATATGTGTTAAAATATTCGCTAAATAGCTATAAATATTTGGATGTGAACCCAATTATTATTATATATTAAGTTGAAATTGCTATTAAAATATATATATTTTAAATTCTAAATCCATCACCGCACACACGACACCGGAACAATAGGGGTTCAGTAGTGGGACAGTGCACTAACTTGAAAAATAATGCATCAGTACTATATTAATTTTATAGATAAGCATATCTGATATTCATGTACATGTACCATGTATCACTCATAATATAGGAAGAAACTATATAAAATCCCAAGATTCAAGGTACTCAAATCATTTTTTTAAAGCATGGGTGCCATTATATTGCCAATAATTTTTACAAACACAATTATATTATATGTTGCCATAAAACTATACTGACAGGAGACAAAGTGTCCAATATGATCATATTAAAATATGTATAGTTGTTTTAATTGAATATAATCATTATATAATATTAATATTTCCTGCCAGCCCATAAAAATTGATCTATTTAAGCCTTTGATTTTTTGACATACACATTATTCTCAAGTTGTCATACACCACCATTCCAATTCCTAGTTTTTTTTCTCTAAACATCTTCAAATTAATTCACTACAAAATATGGCATATTTGGCATCAGAAAACTTAGTAGAAAATGATAGCGCGTTTCTCATGTCATTTCTTGATGAACCTTTGATGGAATATTGCGACCATGAGAAATTAAACATTTTAATTCAATCTCTAGAAGCAGAGCTTGAATATCCCAATATTAAAGGGGATTGTATATTTGATGATGATAACGTTCAAAATTTGAACTTTATTGATAATTCGAGTTTGAATTTCTACCATTGTGAAGATAACATGTACATTAGATCCGCCCCCGAAGATGGTGAAGATAGCTCAGAGGAACTAGTTGATGTGGATGATTTTAGTTGGATGGATACGGAGATGTCATCATTAACTAGTCCTAGTAATAACAACATGATTGAATTTCAAACTTTTATAACATGCATTCCAATTGAGGATGAAGTATATGATTCTCTATGGCTACAAACTGACTTGTCAATGGTAGATAATATTAACCAATAGTAATGAGAACCTGAGTTGATTTTATTTTTTTTAAATTCCTCAGTGTAAAAGATTTGATCCAATTTGGATTATTACTACTAGTTCACCTGTAAATTTTGCTTAATATTATTTTATATAAGTTTTTTCTTTTCTTTTCTACTTTACATGTGGAAATTCTTTTCTAAACTAAGTTTAACATGACCCATCACAATTCATGTACTAAATTGGAGATTAATTGCGTGTCTGTGTGTCATTCATATCAATCGAGTATTTATGATCATCAAGACAAACTGACTTTTTATGTGTGTTTATGTCAGCAAAGCTATAGGTAAAAGGTAGTAAACAGGACCGTGAATTGGCAAAGACACTAAGTCGAGCCCTATATGATCACTCCCTCATTTATATACTCATCTCGTCGAATTATTAATTTTGATATTTATTGTTGGACTAAATCAACTTAAAGATACTCTTAATATATTGTGATATTATCCATTTTGGATAGACCTACACAATATCTAACACTTTATAAGTAAAAAAAATTCCTTTTTTATTCTACTTCCCTTGAGAGACATTGTTTACACAAATTCAACAATCTTGATATGCCTAAATTTAATAATATTAGAAACAATTTTAAAGGTCTCCAAATGTTATTCATTTGTCTTATGCCAAAGTTACAAGAAATAAATAAACAAGGGAAACAAAGTTATAGAAAATACAAGTTGGAAAAATAGAAGTTTCACCTAACTTTAAAGATTTGAATTATATTGTCTATCTGTTTTATGTAATTATCAATTATTTGCCATGTAAAAAAAGTATTATTAATGATTTGCCATTAATCAAGACAATTTGTACCAAGTTAACTACTATGTGTCTATGAGTTGAAAAATAATTCATACAATGTGTGCATGTGCTTATGATCCATCATATCATAATTTGAATTATTTTGAAGGTCCCTTCATGATTCTTGAATGACAACTCTCCAACTGCAATAAAAATCATGTCTATTAAAATTAAGACAATTATGTTTTTCAGTACTATAGGACAACTATTAATTGTCACGCCTCCAATTATTTGACTATACTAATTTAGTTATATGATAATGTACTACTCCATCTGTCAATTATAATAATCTTAGACGCACATGATCTGTTGAATCATCAATAATGGATGAACCTAGCTAGCATGTCAAATGGACAAGTTGAGCGGATTAAAATGAACTGAGTAAATAATTGAGTTATTGCAATAACATATGATCACGATTTTCTTTTTTGATGTGTTTAATCTTGCTCCTTTTGAAGTTTTTTTTTTTAATTCAATATTCTTTTATGAGGTATATGTTGTTGGTGATGGTGGTGATGGGGTTGAGTTTTGGACATTTGAAGACATCTAATTTGAAGAACAAAAGAGAGAGCATTAAGAATATGAATTATTTAACTTCTTAAATGGAAGAAGTAAAAAAGAGGAAGATAAGTGATGGAAGAAGGTGGAAAAAGGAAGAGTAGTGACATGGATGAAGTAAAAATGCTGCCCCTGCAGAGATGTAAGGAAAAAAGAAATTCGACTTAAAAGCAACGATTTTTAGTCATTGTGTCAGAGGGAAATCGCTTCGTCAGAAGTGATTTTGCCCTTTTGGTTTTAAAAAAAATTGATGTGCCCTTTTGGAATTTTTGACAATTTTTTTTGCCCTTTTGGCTCCGGTATGAGATGCACCCCATGTGGTAGGATCAAGTTGTCTACTTTGATATGCCTATTTATAGGCCATTTTTTCTTGAGAGAATGCATTGTCATTTGCTTTATTTTTTTCCTCTCTAAATTTTTATCAATTAAAGCTAATCTTCTCCAAAAATCTTCCAATTTTTCAACTTTTGTTTTATCTCATATTCAACATGTCTTTAACCACATATTGCACTAATGAAAATCTTGCACTAAGCAATATTGAGCATGATGTTTTCATGTCATTTCTTGAAGAGCCAGAATTTGAGGCAAGTGATGAAGAGTTATTACGAAGTGTGATTGAGTCTTTAGAAGTAGAGAATATTGCTCCTAGTATTAAGACAAATGATTCAATTTTGTTAGAGCAAATGAAATTAGAAGAGGATTCAACTAATTTGTCATATAATCTTGATGAACTTGAATATTGTTGGATTGATTCAGACATGGACTGTTCAACTCCTAGTGATGATGATGTGAATATTTGGTTCAAGGATTGTTACTATGATCAAAATGGAATTGAAGATTTGACTAACTTTGTTGGTGCATGTAGGGATTTTTCTTGGGAAGCATCTTGTGAATCTATGTTTTATGAATAGATTTGTTTTTTGGTTTTCCATCGGGTGTCTGATATTCTTATTGGAGCCCAACTAATCTAAATTCACGTCAGAAAATCCCATATTGAGGGGTTAAATGCTTCATCACAAAGGTGACTTCGTACCCTGAAGGACTCAAACCCGAGATCTCTGATTAAGGATGAATGATGAGTACTTATAAATAGTCATTGGGATAGGAGTATTGATTAAGAATTTCATGGCAATTGTAAATCCCATATTAATATAGATTTTTTTTTTTAAAGACCTATTAACTTTTCTTCTTCTTCTATTGCTTTTAATTTAATGTGGAATATCTTACCTAATTTTAGTATGTATTTTAGCAGCAGAAACTTATATGATGTAAATTCCTACTTTATTTATCAACAAAATAGAGTTTAAATAATATATTATACACCATTAATCAGTTTTTTAGACCATCAAATTGTGTTTATTTTATTATAACAGATGACATATCTATGTTGTATGGTGGCAACTTACACGTCATTTGCTAAGGTCAAACAATTGTTTTATTGTTCCTTTATGTTATTCCTTTCTTCTTACCTTAGTTACGTTCAAAAGGCGAATACAAAATTTAAATTTGATATATTCCATTTTAAAGATTTTTATACGAACTTGTGGTACATTTAAAATTATGAGTTCAAAATTTAATTGGGTTTGTTAAGTCTCATATTGGTGAGATGAGAAGAAATTGATCTCTTTATATAGTTTTGAACAATCCTCCCCTCTTGATCTAATTTTTGAGTTGAGTTAGACCTAATTTTTATTTTTTTAATATAGTATCAGAGTCATGTTCATCTCAAGTAATTATCCTTTCATAATGAGCCTATATTTTATATTGTCCACACTCAAGATGTCCATTTTTTAACATGTAGAGGAGGAAGGTGGGAGGTGGGTGTTGAGTTTCACATTGATGGTATAAACATAAATTGATCTCTTTATCTGGTCTCCTATTGGGATAGTTAGGGTGTTGAGTCCGCCATCTATGGGACGAGGAGAAATTGATTTCTTTCTAATCGTGAACAATTCTCTCCTCTTGAGCTAGCTTGGGTGTTGGGGTTAAGTTAGATAAAGGTCATTTCCTTAACAAAGTCCAACATACGAACCATAAGCTCATCTAGCTGACTAGCTCCCATGCTGTATACATTGAGGTTAAGTTAGATTCAAGGTTCATTTTCTTAACATAATCCATCATACGATCCATAAACTCTTCTACCTGATTAGCTCCCATGCTATGGGCCAGAGGATTGGGCTTAGTATATCATGGGAATTTGAAAAGGAAATCAAAATGTAGCAGGCTGCATCAACAGGCCTCAAAATAAAAGAAAAATGAAGGTTTTGGGCTTATGATGGTGTAGCTCAGTTAAAGTCTTAAAGAGCATGCTGAACACCCCAACTACCCAAAACCTTGATCAAGAAGATTATAAAACAGGCACTAAAAGGGAAAATTAATACTACTAATAAAGAGCACATTTCACAGAAATTTTATTTGTCGCTTACACTGTAAAAACCTATTTTTTTCTATACTAAAAAGATTCAACTATGCCCTTAAAGTATGCGAAATTGAATAGACATGCCGTTCGTCAATAGTTTTACTTATATATGACCTTACCATTTAATAATTGATTCAAATCTATATATATATATATATATATATATAGAGGAGAAACATAGAGAAGGTGATGTGCCACCTCTCTATGGCCTCCATTTCAATTTTTCTTTTTTTGTGGTTTTGTTGAGATTTTTTAAAAAAAAAATTAATTATGTTATTATAAAAGTAAATCACTTAATTATTACAAATTAATATTTTATTAATGAAGAAACACTTACAACTAAGACTCTTCACATGCCAAATTATAAAAACTTTATAGCCAACAATAGTGTTTATCTTTTTTCTCAAATTTAAATATATTTTCTCCTTTAATTTATTTAATACAATTAATTAATAAATTAATTAACCCCACGTAGTTTATCAATTAATACAATCGATATGCTATATTTATATCTTCTTTACCTATGTTTTCCCATCATATTTGCTTATATATTTTTACACCATCATAACTCATCTACTTAATTTCCCCTACTAATAATATTTATAATTCTCATAATTTCCAACTTTTCATATTCATAACCATTAAATATTTAATGTAAAAGTTAATACACCTTATGGTATTCCTTCATTTTTTTCCTATATAAATTCAATTTTTTATTTCTTAAGATTCAATTCAAAGTTATCATTTATTTTCACTATTATATTATATTCATGCTTTTGTTTGACTTGAATAGCAAGAAGAAAACTCTTGAATAGTGATAGTCTTGTGAAGTAGATAGACAAGAGCTCACAATTATGTATTGATTTCATTTTCCTTCTATTTTTTTATGATTAAAATTGTAATGATATATGTATTTTATTTTATTTTTTCTTTCCTTTCTTATGTATTACTATGATGCCTCTTAAGTTTAATTTATATAGATTTATGATTGTTGTAAGTCTATAATTTCTTTTGATTCAAATTAGTATTTTAAAATGGAGTAGATCCTGAAGAGATATTACTTTCTTATGAATTTATCTCAATTATGATTGGAATTCGACTATAAGTACTAACCATGTTTAAATTTATAATTACTTTCCTTTTGCTCAAATCAGTAACTTAATTATGTTTTAAAGTCTGCTAACTACTAATCAAGTTTTAAAATTTATAACTGATTGCGTAAAAATAAATTTTAATGATTAAAATATATTTTTCATTTGATATTTATTATGTTCAAGTTCCTCAAACTATCAAGAATTATGGCATGACGTGAAAATTGATAAATATAAAGTAACAGGAGGGAGGGAGAGTGAGGTAATTCTAAAGAAATTATATGTGCACAACAAATATTATTTATATTTATTTAGAATTGAGACATAAGTGCGTAGGAGTTTTCACGGCTAAATCATTATTCTTTATTTGATGGTAATTATTACTCATTTTATATTAAAAGTATATTAATTGTCATTAACAAACTCTAAAACCTTATCCATTCTTTAATTTTCTTTTTACTTTGACAAATAGTATATTTGTGATTTATTTTAAATTTTTTTTATACATTGTAAGAATAAATATTGTATTCTTTCACTTTTAAAAAATAATAAATACATCACATGTAATTTTCTTACTTTTTTATTTGTGGAATCAAATTGTATGTCTGTGCACATTTATAGAAAGATATTATTATTTTATTTTATATTTTTTTTTTATGTAAGGAGAAATTCTTGAAAAATATTCACAAAACCCCAACTTAGATTTATATATATTAAATATAATATTAGATAAATATATTATCATATTTATAAACACCTCTTTCATATAATAATAATATTTAATAAATTATCTATTTTATATGACCGTGCTTATGAATTCACTAGTATATCACTATTTTAAGTGAAACCCCAATTAACCTTATTTGTTGATTCATACAAAATTTTTTTGTCAAATATGCCCTTACAATAATAGCAACATACTCATCTACAAGTGAAGTCTAGAAATGATAGAGTATATGCACATCTTACCATTTATTGCCTTGTGAAGTTATAGAGTCTGCTGCGTCGTGAAGGTAAAGAGTCTGTTTTCGCAAATATGCCCTAAATTTATCAAATATGTGCTCAATTTCAAATACTTTGAGGGTATATACGGCTTTTCCATTTTCACTAAATTTATTTGAACAAAGAATATGAATACATTTTGATATCCTTCTACCTCATTTGTGGATAACCCAATCCAAAGGCTTGCAGTTTGCTCCTTCACTGCAAAAATGGCTACTTCTTCTTCTTTATCTTTCTTTTCTTCCACCATTTTCTTCTCTAACTCCAACACCATCCACTCCTCAAAGCAGCAGCAGAAGCACCTCATTTTCAAATCCAAACAACAGCAATTCTCCATCCGTTCAGAGGCCGCCGTCGCCGCCGCCACTATTCCAATTCTGTCCTTTGATGGTACCGAAGTGGGCTCCACCACTCTCAATCTAAAATCCGCCCCTCTTGACACCGCACGCGCCGTCGTCCATCGTGGGCTCACCACCGACCTCCGCAACCAACGCCGCGGTACTGCTTCCACCCTTACCCGAGCCCAAGTACGGGGTGGTGGTATCAAACCATACCCACAGAAGAAAACGGGTCGAGCTCGACGTGGGTCGAACCGAACTCCTTTACGACCCGGTGGTGGGGTTGTGTTTGGGCCGAAACCTAAGGATTGGTCAGTTAAGATTAACAAAAAGGAAAAGAGACTCGCTATTTCTACTGCGCTTTCGAGTGCTACGCAGAATGCTATTGTTGTGGAAGAGTTTGATGATAAGTTTGAGAAACCGAAGACTAAGGAATTCATTGATTTGATGAGAAGATGGGGATTGGACCCAAAAGAGAAATCTTTGTTTTTGATGACGGAAGTTTCAGACAATGTGATTCTCTCCAGCAGAAACATTAGCACATTGAAGATGTTGACTCCCAGAACTTTGAATCTTTTCGACATATTGGATTCTGAGAAGCTGGTTTTCACTAAATCAGCTGTGGAGTTCTTGAATGAACGATATGGAAATGATGATGATGATGATGACTGGGAGGTGGTGGACGAGGAAGAAGAAGATGGTTAGTTTTTGCCTCATTTTGGGTATGACGTTTCTTTTCAATTTTCGCTAACTCGTTAATTTGCTGCATTCAGGTGGCGAGGTGGAGGAGAGTGCTGAAAGTTCTGAGTAATATATCAACATGGGGCGAAAAGGGTCTGTTCCATTTTAGAGGAGGCTTTACCTTACAGGGAGCTTAGTATATTTCACTTTGAATTGTATTTTATTGTATGATAAAACTAGGTGATTTTGGTTGATTTCCTGTCACTGACTGCATTTGTCCATTACCTTCCCTGGCTTAGTTTACTCCTGATTTTTGTTGCTCTCTCATTACCACTTTGAGTTCTTGATTTTTTATGATAAGAGTGATTAGTTACTTTACTAATGAAGTCTTATGTTCCGGCAAAGCTACATTAATTGCTCAGTAGAAGACGTTATATATAAGATTTATGGGTTACAAGTTGTCAGCTGGGCGAGATTCAGCAAAATAACAAATAGGACTATGCTTAAGTCTTAGGCTTGAAGCAATTAAGCAAAGTTAAGAAAAGGGAAACCTTTATTTGGGTGGAAAAAAGCTTCAGCACCCTTTTCTTTATTACTAACACCATGTAATTGACAGGGAAAAAAAAGCTCTGTACATTTTTTTGAGTGATTGGGGGAATATGGGATACTAAGCATTATTAACCTTGAAAAAGTCCATATCAAGTAGAATATCTATGGAAGCAGATGACTTGGACATTTGTACTATCAAAATATGTGATGGAGAGTATATGAGTATCTCTAGGCTTTTACTAGAAATTTCGAGTTCGAGTGCTAATTGTTACTCTGCTTTTAGCCTCAAAATAGAAGGTTTGAGAATGAATCAACAGGTTGCACAAACTATCTTATTGATCAATTTTACATGTTTCAAAGCCAGACTGTTTAAAAAGCAAAAGAAGAACAAGAAAAATGAAAAATTTACATTGTGGATGTCTATGCTACACTGATGTCTAGAGAAAAGAAGTCAATGGATTGTATAATTTCATTCAACTCATTTACTAGTCAAATATTTAACACGTGACGCTGAAACTTAGTTGTCTTAATTTTGCCAAACATGATCTTCGGTGTAGTTTAAACATTGTTATTGTATTATCTGAGACTGCTTCCAATTTGGCTATATACCATCATTTACTATTTAGTTTTCACACAAATGGCATCACTTTTTGTCGAGCAAGGTAAATGCTATGAAAGATACAATAGCAAACTTCAGGATTCTAGCAGCAAGCATGTCTAGCTTTGACATCCTTAGTGTAGCATCCCTAGTGATCCACTTGTCAGTAGGTTTAAGAAGAGCAAGGGTGGTTATATTGAGCTAACTCGACTTCAAAGGATGGGTTATTTGCAATGATGTCACTGCCAGAAAATGTTTGGCAAGCCACATGGAAATTATTATCAGAAGATATCCTCCATGAAGAAAGAATATTATGGACTAATCCAGGTACAAATATTAACCTTCTTATTTCAAGTTATGATATGATTTTATTTTTCATAATTTCTGTATGGAAATAAATAGCCTTAGCAGCGACGAGCAGATGTCATTAAAATACTGTGTGCTCTATTTGCTCTTGACATAAATCAAACTCTAGAAATGCATTTAATGTCTTCTTTTCTCTGTCACAACAGTGGGCTTCTTTTCTGTTGTTCCTACAATGAGCAGATTACAATCTCTACCAATTTCAATTTTTTCTTCTTTGAAAAACTGTGAGAATGTCCACTAAACTATCAGCAAATTAAACTTAAATCACGTAACTTTGTTCATAGTTAGGCATCAGTTTAACTTTGACACATGTAGAAGAAACTAGAGAGGCAGGAAACACAAGCATGAGAGATGTCATTAAGAGATATATTTTCTGGTTTGTATCTAATAGTTCTATATAAATTCAAAAAAAAATGTTTTAGGTAAATAATTTGTCATCCCTCTTTGCAGTTGAAAAAAGTTTAATGAGGAGGATTTAGTTTACCTACAAGTGGCTTTTGGTATGATAGATGGTTTGTTCCAGAGGTGGATCTAGAGGGTCGAGAGGGTGTTCACTTGAGCCCCTCGGCAAAATATTACAGACTATATAGGGTAGATTTTTTGGGTTTATGTACATTTATAAATTTTGAATCATGTGAACAATATGCAAAAGGTTAGGTCGGTGGTCCAAGGCATTCAAAATGCGCCTAACGTCCAAGATTTGATTCTTAAGGACTGCATTATTTTTTTAGATTATTATTTTTCGAGCCATCTAACTGAATACCTGAGCTCTTACTCCTCCTAATTGGTAATATTAGAACCAGAACATAGCTAAGATTAAATAAAGATGTTTTGGATGGTTAGTTTTAATTGCAGCTAGGATGAATTCTTAGGTTGTTATTCTAGCTTGACAAGTTTGCTTGGAATGTTTGAGTACATTCATCGTGATGTAGGCTCGACATTATGAATAACTCAAAGTGGGTGACTCTATGATCTATTCTTCTTTTTGGTATTTTGTCGACAATCTCCATTTGATTATTTGTACTAAGGTCTTTGTGAAAGAAAGTAAATTGAACGAGTGACAGCGGTCAGGCATACTTTTTCGAATAAGATTGAATCATTGAAGCATCTTCATCACAATTATCAAATCCAAATGTTTTATAGTTTCTGTTAGGGTGTCAAATGGGCGGGTTGGACTGAATTTGGGCGGGTCAAAGTTACTTGGGTTGAAATGAATTGGGCTTAAATGGGGTAAAAACTAGATCATAGCCCCACCCATCCAACTTTTACTAAATTCTAAATTCTTTGTTTGATTTCTTATAAATTGTTTAACTACCTAATCACTTTTTTTGTTTTATTATGACTATATACATATCAAATAAAAATTGTCATTCGTAAAACTATTAGTTAGTTTCTCATGGGTCAATTTGGGTTGTGCATATCAGCCCAATTTTTGAATAGACAGAATTGGGAGGGTCAAATGGGTTGAGTTAATAAAATAAGCGGGTCATTAACCCGCCAAATCAAAGCGGGTTGGGCGGGTCATTAGCCCGCCAAATCTAAGCGGGTCATGATTTTGTAGGCTGATTTTGCCACCCCTAGTTTCTCTGAATTCACGAAGCTTTTTAGAAGTTAGAAGGTTTCCTTTTAATAAGTCTTCCCATTCATGAGAATAAATTTTCTTTCCTAGCAGGATCTAAAGACAAATGGCTAATATTATTCAAAAGAGGTATGAACGTGATAGTGTGAAGAGTTTGAGATCTAGAGAAGTACTCATATATTTCTTTTTCAACAATTTGGATGAAGCTTTTCTCTTATCCAAGTAAGTAATCCTCTTTCTATGAATACTTTAATGAGCAATTTACTTTTGCCTTCAACGATGAACTGCTTTTGTATGTGGATTTGGTAAACTTAGCTTCTTTTTTTTTTTTCTTTTTCTTTAAGGCGAAGCTCAGATATATGTGTTGGAAACGGAGTATATTCCCAGACCTTAAATATAAGGTCTCATAATGAGCTGGGAAATGTCATCATCATTGCAATCGCCCAGTTTATGCTATACACAATAAAACACAATAGACCAAAAAGAAACAAGGATCTACATCGGAGAGCTGCAGAGGCAGTAGTTGGTAAACTTAGCTGGAATATGTTTAAGTTACAGATAATTAATGTCCATATCCATTTGGTCATCTAGTTTACCAAATATGGCCCAAGTACTCATTTATTACCTTTTTTTATTTTATTTACCAAAATCAGCTCAAAGCTGAAGTGCAGAAAAAGCCAAATTATTGCAAAACTGCGGAATTTCATTCTATAAGGTAGGGCTTTGGTTTTTCACTAGAAGCTCATCCTAGAGTTGATCGATAGGTTAACCCCAAAATAAGTTGATTGATCGGTTACCCCTCCGTAATTGACCCCTAAGCTCGGGGGAATCGGAAACTATTGCTTCTTTTCTAAAACGACACACTCCCTTATTTTCCGCAATAACTTTTGCTTATGAAACCTCTTTTCACGTGGTTTTGGTCTCTTTTCGATTGCTTTACAAAGGGAACAGAAAGAAAAGCCTTAGGATGAGTCATCGAATGTCTTTGCCTAGAGAAAGCTATCAGAAAGTAAAGCCAATGAGCTAATGGTGACTAGCCTTTGATTGAAGACTGGGTCAATATAAAGGATACGGCGATAGGCTAGTCCATCTAGATTCTATAAAAAGCTAAAAGGAGCCAAGTTTTTGTAAAATCTAGTCCCCAAGCTCTATTCCCTTCTTTTTCTTTTCTCATTTGCCGCTGCTGCAGACCACTACTTCACCATTGTTTGTTGCCTCCTCTCCAGTGGTTGAAAATCACCGCCACCGATCCATAACCTCTGTTCACGTTCAAAATACACCACTCGAATCGTCTCCTTCTCCTCTACCAAGATCCATAACTCAAAACCTTCAATTCACTCTCTCACGGATTTTAGAACATCTGAAATCCCTAGTTTCATTCTTCTCAAATTTGTGAAGCTACACTCATCTCCACCACACAAAACCTACATAAATAGATAGATCTTGGACGGATCTATCATCTGGCATCGGTTTCAGTACGAAACTTTGAGAGCCAATTTTTGCGTCGAGTCGCTGGCAACATTGTCCTCGATCATATCATGTCAAGGTACGTGTTAGTTATCAGAAGTTGTTGAAATGTTTTGTGTTGAACGAGCTGCATCATAGACCTCCCAATGCCTAGATGAAGAAGCACTGTTTTTAAAAAAAAATTACATAGGGGTAGGGAAGGGGAAATGGATGAGGGGATTACAAGGTAGGAGAAGTACCTCTTCCCCTTATTAGTTTCTTCCTTCTCCTCTACCAAGATCCGTAACCCAAAGTCCTCAAAATTCACTCCATCTCCATGAATTTCAGAATATATGAAATCCCTAGTTTCTTCCTTCTCAAATTCGTGTACGCTCATCTCCACCACACAAAACTTACATAAATAGATAGATCTTGGATGGATCTATCATCTGGTGTCAGTTTCAGTATGAAACTATGGCAACCAATTTTTCCGGCAAGTCGCCGACAACCATTGTCCTTCATCATATCCTGTCAAGGTGTGCGTCAGTTATCAGAAGTTGTTGAAATGTTTTGTGTTGAATGAACTTCATCATTGACCTCCCAATTCCCCAAAGAAGAATGCATCTTTTTTTTTTTTAATTACATAGAGGGTAGGGAAGGGAAAATGGGGGAGGGGATTACAAAGTGGGAGAAGCACCTCATTCTTTCTCGTCAAGCCACATTTTTTTTGACAAGTAATTTTTTTTTATTAAAATG